GATCTGCGTCGTATATATTATATATATATTATATATATATATGTATATATGTGTGTATATATATATATTTATGTATATATATATATGTATATATATATATATATGTATACTTGAGAGCAGGCGGAGGCGGACGAAAGGTAGTGTAGTGGGAGAGGAGTGGTGTCAAAATGCTGCGCCCCTAAGATGATACACCAAAAACGTTTTTGCGCAGTCTAAGATGATTTTATCCAGAGCATGACTGCATGACACTGTGTCTTGTGCTGCGTGAAATGATGCACGAAAAGGGGTTTATTTAAAACCCCTTTTTAAGACCCCTTGCAGAACTGTTATTGAGGCTGAAGCATACCAATTATGCTGGACTACAGGGACATCTCCCTCATGGAAAGTGTGCCTCTAATGTGGGGGCCCGTGACCGCGTCACCCGTGGGAATTGAACCCATGACCATTTTCGGGGGGGGGGCCCCCCCCCTTATAATTGATATCCAATACATAACGGCGAGAATTCCATGAATTGCACGGGCTGGCCCCCCAATACCCCCTAAGCTTGTGCTGAAGCACGGAGAACTCAGGTAGCTGACGCTACCTTTCGTGATATATATATATATATATATATGTACATATATATGTATATATATGAGCCATAGGGATCCCGAAGATTGACTGCTTCGTGATTTGCTCGGTCTCCACATGGAAACCTCACAGAACCAGTGCGAAGCATTCCCACCTCCACGGTGCCACTTTTGCTACTTGGCCTAGCGGCGGACTTCGGAGGCGGAGGACATTTCAACATCCTGAAGCTATGACCAGCGGTGACCAGCTATGATTTTCAACTGTGACCCGCCCAGGCTGGTGGTCATTATGGTGCCTTTTCACTTTGGAAGCTTTGAATTGAAAATGAACCCCATGATCGAAACCCCTCGTGCATCATACAAGCTGCATCAGAATGAGAGTGTCATCTAGCATATGACCTCATGGCACCTCGTTTAACATTGTTTAACATTGGTTTTAGTATCAGTACAGGACATTATCTGTAAGCAACCCCTTAGTTTGCCAACTCGCCACGGCCGTGCTGGGGGTTCCCACGTCTCACTACTTCCCAGCAGGACCAACAGCTCACCATGGTCATCTCCAACAGCGCCTGCAGACTCCACATGAAAATGATGAGTCCATCTGTGAATATCAGTCTGTCGAAAAATCACCAGCCTAATAACCTAAACAATCAAGGTTTCTTCATGGGTTGACATGTTTGGATAAATTGGCAAACGTGTCGACCTGGAAATGTTGGAGAGCTCTCTTGCCATGCAGCCGTCATTTCCTAGAATTATGGCTGATCAGGCTCATCAGCATCAATGTTTCAACTGGCGTTCTTTATGACGAAAAAAATGCCGAGCAGCGGAATTTTTACGTAAACCTCTGTGGTTGACCCGTGGACCAGAGTCTGATTGCGGAGCACACACACAATGAGGTGCATAACAAGGTCCACGATACCTGACCCAGCAGGCTGGTGGCCTACCAGAAGTTGGGAGTTCAAAGCGACCAACTGCGTCGTCTCGGTTGACAGCAAATCTGAAGATAACCAGGTGACTTTCACCAATTCATTGCTGAAGTCTTGCCTCGGCATCAAAAATGCTGGGAAAGGGAGGTATTTTGCCAACGTTTTGATGGGTGTTGCAAAATGCTCGTGTGTCTCTCCAGGATAGACCAGTCTTTGGCAGGAGATTTACGGATGTTCCACATCGAGTGAGTCATGCCGACTGTAGGCACTCTCAACTTCCAAACAAATCGTTTGACAAAACGTGAGACCTCGGTGGCAACGACAAACAGTGCCCCACCCCGCGATGGTGGTCAACCGCCCAGTGACCAAATAACGCCTTCGCGACCGTCGGAGTGCATCACAGGAAAGAAGCGCTTGTAGGTGCCGTAGTTTCCTGTGACAATCGGGGCCTCTCTTGGAGGATCATCCCAGAAAAAAGTGCATCCAATAATCCTGGTAAGTCCCCAATTTGTGGTTTATCCCCTAAAAATTGGGAAACTAACCCCAGGCACTAACCAGTTACTATCATTTTACCATTGCCAACCATTACTAACCACTAAAATTACCATGATTCTACCACTACTAACCATTACTAATCATTATTTAGCCACCATTCACCAATAACCATTACTAACCATCAGTATTTGCTAACCAACCAGTACTAACCAGTATTTACCATTACGAACCAACCATGAAAACCGTTACTAACCATAAGTTCCGGGGTCCCACCTGAGTGGCTTCCAGGACCGTGATTCCAGTGGAGCTCTGGGACAAAGGGCTGGCCGTCCACTTGGAAGCCTCAGGGCGGGACAAACCATCTGTATACCTATCTATCTATCTATCTATCTACCTATCTATCTATCTATCTACCTATCTATCTATCTACCTATCTACCTATCTATCTATCTATCTACCTATCTATCTATCTATCTACCTATCTATCTATCTACCTATCTATCTATCTAT